ATCTTAATATATTAATCTAGGATGTGGTTATATTTATTAATGGGTAATTAGCACATAACGTTCTCAGCTTTTATTGTTATTGTGGAAAACGTTCATATCTTTTATTTTTTTATCATTTTCACCCTTATTTCCACATTTCACTGAGCAAAAATGTCATTTTCATCTATTTCTCAATTAAAAATTGTGAAATGACGAATATACTCCTATATTTAAATAAAACATATAGAAATACAAAAAACTAATTGCAATCATAATCCCAATTTTTTTTAAAAAGCGCAAATGGGTCTCAAATAAATTATTAAAAGGGTTATTAATACATAATGTATTAATAGATAAAATGGATGAAAATGATCTTTTACGCAATGAAATGTGGAAATAAGGGTGAAAATGTTAAAAAATGAAAGGTTGTGATGTTTTCCACAATACTAGTGAAAGGTGGGGACGTTATGTGCTAATTACCCTATTTCAAATGTCGTTTTCTAATGTTGAAATTAAAAAAAAAAAAATCTTTGATTTTAAATAGTTTAAAACAGTTTTTGTATAATAATTGATACATTTTCCTTTTCTTTTAACTATTTTCCGATATCAACCAACGAGCTATGTTTAATTTGAAATTACAAAGTTTTGCAATCGATACGTCTATACACATCGAGTAACAATAAGAAGAAATAACTTTGAAACGAATTATAAGTTGGCAACAAATTTGACAAAAGTACATTAAATCCTTGTTTGGTGAGAATTAAAGTTTGATTTTTAGTATATTTTGATAAAAACTGATGAAATGTATGATTAAAAAGTTGTGGATCTCATGCAAAATTAATTTTTGATTNAAAAGTTGTGGATCTCATGCAAAATTAATTTTTGATTTTAATTTTAATTAAAATTTTGATTTTAATCCCCACCAAACATGGACTAATTTCGGAGATAAATATTAAAATTTAAGCAAATTTCGTGGAGAAAAAGTTGTGCAACTAAAAAATATTAATAATAAAATAATGATAATCGTTGTCCTTGTCAAGAAATTAAAGAAGGCATGTCATTGCATCAATTTATTACATAAAAAACAATTGCATCGCTGTCCAATAATACATTTGGAAACCATGGCATCATAATATAAAATTATGTTTAATTTTACTCGAGAAAAAGACAAAAAAATTGTGTATATCCTCTCATAAGGTTGTCCCTCTCAATGAGTACCGTTCTTTGCTACGTGATGTTAGTTGTTGTTAATGTCACTGCTTATTCGCGACTTTTGTAGAGATGTCGGAAGTTCATAAATAAAATTATGTTTAATTTTACTCGAGATTGATTGTAAATAGTTTAAGAACAATGATTATCAATGTGAATGAATATGGTCAGTTACTAGATTGAATAAATTTAAAAGGATTAGTATCGGTGAAATTGAATCCTATCACTTTTAATCTATTTGTGTTTTCTCCTCAAGTTCTGTGTAGCTATAATTAATTTTTAGTTGCTTTTGAGTAGTTTTTAATTAAAAATCAATAATCTAACAAATTGTACAAATTTGATTTTCTTCACTT